AAGTAATTGACTATTCATGCAATAGAAACATGCTGTTTTTTGAATAGGAGAATTTCATCTAACGACCTTGAATGTAACATATTTTTAAATTAGGCTCAACACAATTTGAAATTTCATTACAAGATATTGGACTTAAATTAAATAAAATTGTAAAATAAAATTACCAAAATATCTTTATTCCAATATGTTCCTTAGTGAAAGAAGTAATACAAGGGAATTAACAAGCAATACTTACCTGGGAAGGAATTAACAAGTAAGTAAAGCTTTTAACAAGTAATATATAGTTGATTTTATAAGTTATGATAATGATTTAACAAGTCATGGGTTTAAATCATTTAAATCATCACATAGACTTCTATTATTAATCATTTACCTTACATGTTAAATGTGTCAACTTACATGTTAATTTTCTTTTGTTACTTGTTGCCATAAGCTACAACATACTGAAAAAGGATATTTTAGTTATTTTGTTTTATAATTTTATTTCAATACAGGCTCAATATCTTGCAGTGAAATTTTGAAATATTTTTGACCTAATTTAAAAGTATGTTAGATTGATGGTCCTTAATTTTAATGAATTGTCCTTTTTTAATCCTACATTAACATTTGTCTAGTACAAAATAGCATAGATGTTCATCTTGCAAATTCTTGTCAAAACACTGATTGCGTGTCTCAAAGCTTGGCAAAATTTCAAATCCTATTTCAAAGGGTTATGTTTTCTTTTGCCAAAAAGAGTCATATGTGTATGAGGTGATATTTTGATTGTTTATAGTTAATATTTGCGTTAATTATTTTAAAACTTTAAGCTTCCAGTTGCAACAATAAAAACAAGTTTAGTTTCACTAAATAAGGTTTTGCTATATAAAAATATTTTGTTAGGATTTGAGATCTAAGTGTTTCATATCCTCTCATCTAGTGAGTGTCCACACTATAGTTGTAGGATTTCAATGTGTGAAAATTCATGCTTGATCAAAAATAAATGAAACAAAAGTTAAAGGGCAGAGTTTTGAGGGTGCATTTCAACTTTTTCTCTACAACCATGTAAATAGTGGAATTAAGGTATAGGGTATAGTAAAAGGCAGAATTGTTTATGATTTTGGTGTCCTTTCCATATTTTGTGCCAAGTTAGGAATCATGGATGACAACTCCACAAGCAATGCAAGTCCAGACCATCTGGATTGTGCGATGGAAATGGTGAAGGAGGAGGTGCATGGTACCACTTGGATTTTGCCAAAATTGGGATATATGTATATAAATACAATCAGGATAAAGAGTTGCAAATCAGATTAGATGGAATTGCAAATATGAGAAAATAAGTTATAAACCATTTCAAAATTCAATATTAAAATATTGTGTTTATAAATAAAATTAGGAAATCAAGTTGCAAATAGAGGTAAATGAAGTTACAAATCTAGGAGGATTAGTTGCAAATTTTTGTATTTGAAATATTCTATTATAATTATCAAGGGTATTTGAGTCATTTCTAATGTATCATAATACCAACTAAGGACCTATGGGACTTACTTTGTATTTTGGAATTTGTTGAGACTTTATTGGAATAAAATGGTCCTTTTAGAACTTGGTTGTCATTGTCCCTAACATTTTCCTCTAATCACTATATATTAGTCATTTTAAGATTATCCAAGTGAACAAAATCATCCCATTTGAAAACCTGAAATATAATCAAAAAGAAAATAAAAAGAAAAGTAAGAAAAATATTGGAAGATATGAAATCATATTATAAAAAAAAAGAGAAAATTAATCTTCAGGTTTTTATAGTTTTTCTCAATTTTGATTTGGATTCCTACAGTTTATTTTATTTTAATCAAGCCCATATAATTTGATCCATTAAATATGTTAATATCTGAAGATTAAAATTAATAATAAAGTATTAACCTTCCAAAAACAAAATCTCTTTTAGAATCTATGGAAAATTTGATTTAATAATTTTGATCAAAAGTAAAAAAAAGAAAAAGAAATTGATTAAAACATTATTTTGTAACAACTTAGTTTCTTAATTTCTTTAAACAACATCTACCACAGTATTTAAAATTTTAAAGCCAATAAAATCTTCTACCATGGCAATTAAAAATTTTCAGGAGATCCAATTTTAGAACAACACAATCAACATGGGATATCCCAAACTTTAAATTCAATTCTCAAATCATCCTTAAATATCATCATCGTGATTATATTTCAATCACAAGCATCATCCTAAGACTTTAGGCCTATCTTCCAGCACACAATTCTAGAACAGAAATGTAAATATAAATGTCATATATAAAGTATTAGTTGCTTGCCTTAATTTAGCCAAGGAAAGTTTAAAGCTCGTGTGATCCTATGTTTTGATAGTATTGTTATTCAAAAATACTAAATGATCCAAGATATTGGCCTTTCTTCAAGGATGTTGTAGGAGCAATTGATGGTGCTCATATGTCATGCATTGTTAGTCTTGCTTATAATCAACCTAGATTTATTGCAAAGAAGGGATATGCAACACATAATGTCATGGTTATATATATGATTGGGACATGTGTTTTACTTCTATAATTGCGAGATGGAAGGTACGGCCCTTGATGCTCGAATATTTGATAATGCCTTATCAACTATGTCAATGAATTTCACACATCCACCTCCGTGTATTTTTTTTATAACTAAACTTCATTGTAGTTATTATTGCATTGATTAATTAATGATAGTCAAATTTATAAAACTTCATTTATTTATTAGGTTAATATTATTTAGTTAATTATGATTATCCTATACCAAATGGGTATCTTGGTCCTTAACGTTGTGAATGTTATCACTTTCCAAACTTTAGGCGATTTCTATTGAAAAATCTAGTGAATAATTTGATTCGAGTCGTATTTGAGAATACTATTCTTTAGAGTTATTATGCCATACAAGTTGAATGTGGAAACCCCAAGATTAAATGAACATTTCCTATAGAAAACAAGGTGTCAGAACAACATAAATATTAAATATGCAAACTAAAATGAAGAACTCAAGATGGAAGAAGAATGCTCAAAATCTCAAGAGTAATGTATTCTGATACAACCATGCTTTATATAGGTAAATTTTTAATCTGTTTTCATGGTGTATTTTTCTTCAATATTCACAATTATTTCTTACAAAAAATGTATGATGCACGGAAAAAAAATAACAACATAAATACTTCTTTCAAATCGTAATATGTAGATAATTTTTATTTTGCGGCAAAAAATATATATAATCATTATCATAATGCACATTTTAAAAAATTAATGGTTTTCATTATCAACCATTGAGAAGATATTAATTACATTTTTTCTAAAATGATATCTATCTAAAGTCTGCTATATTTTTCTCTTTCCAATTTATATAAAAAAGTCTGATATAATTTTTCATTGTGACTCTTCATATTGTAATTAATAGTTTTAGATATAGGTAAATTTATATTTTTTATTTTAAATAAATTTAATGAATCAATTACATTATTAATTTTAATGATATGATAAACAATATCTTAGAATAAAAATTGAATAGTGTAATTAAAAATTAAACCATTCAAAACATTAGGACCCTTGGTTCTAACCAGATACTTAAAAAAAATATATATGTCAAAATTAATTATGAATCTAAAAACATGATATGTAAAATAGTTCATATGCTTTTTAAATAAATTTTTAAAAAGTCTAATTGAAAAGCCAAATTAAAAAGCAAGTAAAATTAGCTTTTGAGGTAACTATAATTTTAAGTTTATAATTGATTTTAGCATGTATAGGAAGAAAGCACTTTCTTATTTAGCTGAAGAGGGGAAACCACTAAAAATCTAGTGCCAACAAAATAAATAAATAACAAATATCCAGGAACACCTTTCAAATTTATAAGATGTTAAATTGTGGCAAGAAATTTAAATACCTTAATCCTTGGCCTGGATATTAAAAAAAAAATGGGAGGAAAGAAACTCTTAAAAATAATAAAAAGTTTTTACTATTTTTAAAAATCTCTCTTTCTAATTTTTAATTCTCCTTATTTTCTTTTCGTTTTTTCCTTCCATGAAAATCAAGCCTAAGTTCCACTCATTTGTCAACAACTTACCTGTGCCCATTTAATGCACATAATGTATGTTGCAAAATTTACAAAATACAAGATGAAATAATGTAAAAAAGGTCAAAAAGCTTCACCCCTTCAATTCGGTTTTGCTCTTCCCAATGTTCTCCAGATCTTCTATCCCTTTTCAATTTCCATTTGTTGGTTTGGCATCTCTTCTCTTCATGTTTTAAACTCATTTTTATTTTTTTCTGTTTAAATATTGTACTAATAATATTTTAATTATCTGTTTTCTTTTTTAGATGGAACGATTAATCCTCTTATCAAAAGAGGAAAATTTGACAACAAAACTTCCTCCATTTCATCTTCTCATCTGTTGTAAAATTATTAAACCAAAATTTTATAAATATAAATGCATTGAGAAATAAATAAAAATAAAAAATTTAACTTTTTTTAAAAAAAAATAAACTATAATAGCAGTTCAAAATATATATATATATAGATATATATAAACCATTGTGATATTACAAAATCACCCGTTCTTTTTTTTTTTATGTTTCAAAATTTCAATTTGGTAGAGATTTGTAAATGACTACAAATTTTAAAATTCTATCACTGATGCTAGTAAAGGTGCAAAACTTGCCAAACTTATCCTGCCAAAACATTGGCAGCAGAAAGACACCCCCAACCATTAGTAGTAGCAAGTTTGAGTTTGACTAGATACATGGCAGTTTTTTGCAATTGCTACTAAGGACCCACTTGGTATGATTAAAATGAAAGAAATGGATATGAAAATGAAATTGGGAAAATGTTTATTTGGCATAATATGATTAGAAAATTTTTCAATTCCAATTCCACCAAAATATGTGAAAATGGCTTTCATGTTAGGATTCAAAGATTTTGAATTCCATGTTTGCACACTCCATTTTTTCCCCTCCCACTTTCATTCAATCTCAATGCCTACCAACCTTTGTGCAAATTCTCATTGTCCTCCTCGCCCACAAATGAGCTTCTCATTCCCATCGCCCTTCACTAACAACACTCAATCTTAAGAACAATGATGTCTAGAGGTGACTTCAAAGGGAGTGATTTCTTCAATTATTTCTTCTTTTTGTCATGGAAACCACACGAAAATTCAATAGACACTGAATGTGTGGGTCATGAATGTAATTAATGGTAAATCAATGTTAATCTCAAAAAATCAAGTCAAATAGCAAATAAGCATTAAATTTTCAAATTTTAGTCAAGTTAAGCAAGAAAATTGTAGTAGTGAATGATTTGATTTAAAAATAAAGATGAAACTAGGCAACTAAGATTATAAAATTGTAATAACCTTGACAATTTTTTAAATAAATATATATGTTAATTTGCTTAAAGTGTGTTTTATATTATTTCTTGGGATAAATATGACATGTTAGAGAGTTGATGTAGTGGCAGCTGAGTAGGTATTTATGTCTCAGGTTCCAAGCTCAAATCTGAAAGAGGCTAGAGGAAGAGTTAATTTTTTGCCCTTTTGCTATGTGAAATCACCAAATTGCCCTTCTCCCATTATAATATAATTCCTTCTCTTTTCTTTTCTCCAGCAGATTGGTGCGTGAGTCAAGAGAGCTGTAGATTTCACCAGAAACTTTGAACCCTCTTCATCCAGCCCTTCATCCATTATCATCATCCTTGTCATTAAACTACTCGCCGGTGACCTTGAGAATGCCGAAAATTCCACTATGGGAGACGTTCATTGGCTGGTTGTTCTCCCCTGTTTTCGAATCATTCTCCCTTATCTTATCGTCCATGAACTGTGCGAACGTTTTAAGTGATGGACCCCATGGCACGAATGACATAACATTAATGGCAACGAAGCTTGAGGATGGTAATCATGAGCATGGTGACATGGAAGGAGACCAATACTTCTAATCCAACGTACCTAAAGACCCATTACAATATATTGGGGGTCCAATGATAAGAGCCCGAACTAAAGCCATGAAGCAAGCTTTGTTCACTCTTGTGCAAGAAGTTCAAGAGCTTGATGCTCTCAAGCCCAAAGGAGAGCATCTATATGTGTATAATGTACTTAAGATCCAAACTCATGAAGAGTCAAGCCCAAGAGATGCAGACCTTAACCCAATGCAAGGAAGACTACAAGTTAAGCCTCTTGCAAGCAAGGAGGCATGAAACCCTAGTGAAGAAATTAAGGGTGGCGTGATTTTAAATCCTTTATGATCCCTTGATTGTCTCCTAAATTATTTCCTATTTTAATGGTCCTTTGATTTGATTTCCTATTTTGAGGCTAGTCAAAGGTTAGAATTAATTATAGTATTAATTTTTAAATTTTGTAATCCCATAATTTTAGGATCATATCTCCTAAATTATGTGGCTGAATATTTTATCATTATTTTATATTATTTTTCCTTTTAGTATTAAGAAATTAGGGTTTTAATTTTAGAAAATATTCTTTTCTATGAACCTATATAAATTAGGCATGCTCCCTCTTGTAAACGGAATAGAAGTTGAATGAAATTATTCATTTTAGAGTTTATAACTCTTGTGAGCCTTAGTGCTTTGTGGTGGCATCCCATGTGAGAAACAGACGTGATCAAGAGCGTGATCAACTCTTGTGGTGTCTTCAAAGGTTGAGGTTTCTAGAGGCAGGTGCTCTAAAGGATCTTCTCCTTGATCATTATCCCATTGTTTATTTCATATCTTTCTTTATTTTCGTCATAAATTTCGTCTCTTTCTTTTTGTTCTTGTGTTTTTGTTGTGTCAGGGTTCTGTCCCTAAACTAGCACGATTCTGCTTCCGCGTCCCTATCAGATTGGCATCAGAGCTTTGGTTGCTAGTTTTGGTTCAAATTCTTGTCCTTTCTTCTTATTTTTCATCTTGAGTTATTTCTTTTTATGATCATCTCTTATCTATCCATTACTTCTATCTTTTGGTTTTTCTCTTCTTCATCTTTGTGACTTTTTCATCTTATGTGAGTTTTCATTTTATTAGCCTTCTCAAAAAAAAGAAAAAAAAATATACCTAGAAATTCGTGCAAAAAAAAGGCAGAAAAAAAAAAGAAGTGTTAGTGTGTTGAAAAAAAATCCGAAAATTCAAAAAAAATTACAAAAAAAATATTGCTGTGAGTTATGACTATAGAAAAAGGCTATTCTTGAACTCCAAGTCACCAAGAGGTTGCCTAAAGAGAAAAGTCAACTTGGGTGATAAGAAAGTCTTATACGTTGATCACTTTCTTATTTTAAATTTTTGGTAGCACTTTTCAAATTCTCTACTCTCTTATTTGATATTTGTGCTTCTCTCTTATTTTATTTAGTTTTCTATTTTTGTCTTTGAGTATTTGACTCTTTGACTTTTATTTCTTTCTTTCTTATTTTTATTGTCACGTGTGGTTTTTCCTTTAGCAAGCTTAATTTTATTTGAAAATTTTTCTTTCCTATTTGTTTCAAAATTGCAAAAAAAATCCTTTCTTTTCATCTTTGCTTGTTTTCTAGTTTCTTTAATTTAAAGATATTCACTTGATTGTTTCTTAGTTTCTTGATTTGTGTTTGGTTTCACCATTGGATTCTATCCACAAGCTTAGTGAGTGGTAAAAGGCAAGTGTGTTTTTCATCATTAAAAAAAAAGCCATTAATTTTTTTTTGTGAAACACGAGTGACTTTATTTATTTGAGAGTAAACACGTGAGTTTGTGTGTGTGAGGACCCATTTTTATCTTATATGGTTTCTAGTGCTTCTGTGAACATGAGTAACAAGGATGAATCCCCTAGTATTGATATGAACTCTGTTTTAGAACTTATCAAAACACAGTTGCAGCAGTTTCACTTGGAACTTGATCATAGGTTCCATAAAGAGGATAAAGATGAGCCGGAGACTTCCTCTTCTAAAGGAAAGAAGCATAAGATCCCCAGCGATGATGAGGAGTATAAAGAACCCCCTTCTCCTAAGGGAAAGAAATCCTCAAACGTAGTGTTGACTTACCGGACCAAAAAGTAAAGTATCCTTCATTCAAGGGTAGCAACAATCCAGAAAAATACCTTGATTGGGAAATGAAGATGGACCAAATCTTCATGACTCTTGATTTGTCTGAGTCAAGGAAGGTAAAAACTGCTTCTTTGAATTTCACTGACTATGCTGTTTATTGGTGGCAAGATTTACAGTACAAAAGAAGCCAACTTGGGAAAAAGCCCATTAAAACGTGGGAGAAGCTTAAAAGGTACTTGAGAAAGGCTTATGTCCCCAGCTACTACTATACAGAGCTGAATAGAAAATTAAGAATGTTTTCTCAAGGATCTATGATAGTGGAGGAGTATGTGCACGAGTTGAATATCTTGAAGTTTCATGCAAACATTCAAGAAAATGAACGTGAAGCAATGTCAAGAATTATGGATGGCTTGAGGCCAGAGTTGAGAGATAAGCTTGACTTGTACACTTTTGTGGACAAGGAAGAGCTCATACACAAGGCTATAAAGTTGGAGCAGAGAAATAAGAACAAACGTCCAAGTTCTCTTGGAAAGACTCCAAGACAACTTCCAAATGGAAGGATTCCAAAGCCAAAGATACATCCCAGGCCAAGGAAGAAATAAAGACCAAGTATGAGGGTAAAACTTCTAACCCTAAACCTTCTTCTTATTCATCTAACACTTCTCCTATTAAGTGTTTCAAATGTCATGGTGTGGGCCACATGGTGAGAGATTGTAGCAATAAAAGGGTTATGATCTTGAGAGATGATGGTGGCTATGATAGTGTGCATGAAAGTGATAAAGATGATGCTGATAATGTTGATGATGATTCTACCTCCCATGAATCAAATGATGAGCTTGAATGCAATGGTGTAGTTGACTCTATCTTGGTGGCAAGAAGAGCTCTCAATATTCAACCAAAGGAGGATGATGAACATGAGCAACATGAGCATATTTTTCACACTAGATGCTTCATCAAAGAGAAAGTGTGTAGCATGGTAATTGATGGTGGTAGTTGCACTAACGTCGCTAGCACTTTACTTGTAGATAAATTATCTTTACCTTTAATTCCACACCCTAAGCCCTACAAATTGCAATGGTTGAATGATTCTGCTGAAATTAGGGTTTCTAAGCAAGTGTTGATTACTTTCTCTGTTGGAGTTTATACTTGTGATGTATTATGTGATGTAGCCCCTATGCTTGCTGGACACTTGTTATTAGGTAGGCCTTGGCAGTTTGATAGTAAGGCTACTCATGATGGTTTTAGAAATTGTTACAAGGTGCCTTTTAAAGGCAAGACTATTGTATTAAATCCTCTTAGGCCCATCCAAGCCTATGAAGATCAACTAAAGATTACTCAAGATTACAAGCAAAGGAGAGATCTCCTTGATTGTGGCATGAGTGAGAGAGAAAAGAAAGAGAGTATTACTTTACTTGAAAATCAATCAAAAGAGAGGAAAAAGAGTGGTGAGAAGGTGAGAAAAGAAAAAAATAGAATGGTGGGAGTGAAGGAAAATAGTGAAAAAAAATATTATTGTGTGGGAAAAGTAAGATTCAAGAGGCTTTGATGAGTGAGCAAGCCCTTATTGTAATTCCCAAGAATATTTATTTTTTTACTAACACTTTTGACCCCACTTTGCCTTCTAGTGTTGTCTCTTTGTTGCAGGATTATAGAGATCTATTCCCTAATGAAATTCCTGATGGACTTCCTCCCTTAAGAGGAATTGAGCATAGGATAGATTTCTTGCCTGGAGCTGCTATTCCAAACAAGCCTGCTTATAGGGCTAACCCTGAAGAGACTAAGGAGATCCAGCGCCAAGTAGAGGAATTGATGATGAAAGGCTTTGTGCGTGAGAGCCTTAGCCCTTGTGCTGTCCCTGTTATCTTGGTGCCAAAAAAGACGATCTTGGAGGATGTGTGTTGATTGTAGAGCAATCAACAAAATCACTGTAAAGTATCGTTACCCTATCCCTAGACTTGATGATATGCTTGATGAATTGCATGGTGCTTCTATCTTCTCTAAAATTGATCTTAGAAGTGGTTATCATCAAATTCGTATGAAAGAGGG